CCATGRAGGGAAGTCTGAACCGGTACAGGTACGGGAGCAAAATTCAGGGACTTATTGTGTATAGGATTAGCACCTTTGTGTAAATGCAAAAGCTTTATAAACCTGGTGAGCCTAAACTACAAACTGAATCCAAGCTTATCTTATAGGAAGAGAGTATTCTTTTTTTTTCTAGTCAACTGAAAATATATTAAAAGTAAATTGCATTCCAAATTACTGTTTCATTATTCACGGTGCATACAGAAATAGGTAATATTGCAAAAAAAAGTCACACTTTTATTTCTAGCTATTATACATTCACTGCCAGCTCTTGCTTTTTTTATTTTTATTTCCTTTTAATTTATGTGATGCTTTGCAGAACTCCGTGCTAAGCCTGCCACGGTGTTTAATGGACCCCTTCCAGTAATGGACTATTAGTAGCCCTGCCCTTGCTGAGCCCTGTTAAGCCTGAGAGCGCATCCCAGCCCCAGCTGCCCCACCACACGGGGCCGCGCAGCGCTGGCGGGCCGGGAACAGGCCAGTCCTCAGCAGGAGGAGCTCCCGTCCCGCCGCACAGCGTGGCTACGCGCCRGGGCAGGGAGCAGCACGTCTAACAGCAGCATTTCCCTGCACATCAGYGTTTATATCACCCACGCGGGCGTGAGGGCTCAGCGGCCAGCAAGGGAGAGCAGCAGCGAGAGGGCGAAGGACACGAAAGGAGGCTGGGGGAGTCAAATGTTTGCAGAGCTGGAAGAAAGAATCAAGAGAAAGCAAAGCTAAATAGAGGGGAAAAAGTAACTAGGCAAGAAGGGATGGAAGCCTCGACCTGTTTCTTTGCACGCTCTCTTATCCTGAACATTTTTATTCTATTTTGTCTGATTTTATGTTGCCAGAATGCCACATTCTCGCCTTTCTTTGGGGTCTAGCAAGCATGTGGCACATTTCAGAGACTTTCAGCACCACTTCCGTCGTACATTGTCTCATCAGTAAATTTACCTTTTCTACATATTCCTTTTCTATATTGCTGTAGCTTACATATTTTTAAAGATTTGCCTAGGAAGCATCACAGGTTTACCACCCTCTGCACAGAAGWTCATTCCCTTCTCAAAGAGGACTCCAGCTCTTAACTCACCAAAGCACCATCTTCCTCTTTTCTATTTAAGAAGATTTTTTTWAAAAAAACTTCCTCTTGCTGTCACCACGTGTGACCTTATTTGAACAACAGCAAAGGACAAGCATGAAAAAGGCAGGTGGSGAAAAAAAGGAAGAGAAGGGGTAAACTCAGCCAGCTTTGGGGAGGCACGAGGAGCGCTGGGCTCTGGGCGCGTTAATCCCAGCACCAGCTGCACAACACTTTGGCACCATATTTAGGCAGGTGGTTTTCACTGCACACACACTTTTTTCGCACCCATTCAGGTTCTGGATAACTCCTTCCACGTGAACTGGACACATGCAGCATCCGTCCTTATTTTATCTCCGGTCTCTCCGGTGCAGCCTAGGGAAGAGGCTGCAGATTTCCACTGTTCCCCTAACACACAGCTCTCACTCCATGGCTGGCACATTTCTTACCTCACTGCTCCTCTCCATGGCTCTTGGGAGACCACCCTGTGGGTCCTACCTAGTTGTAAGCCTTGTAAGACGTGGGAAACGAGTTTATTTCTCTAATGTGTGATTTTCTACACAAATGTTTTCTATTGTGATTCAGCTCCTCACTTATTCCCTTTCCACACGCACTGGCTTCAAAATTGTTTATCGCTATTAAAGAAAAAAAAAAAAAAGAAAAAAAAAAGACTTCTGAAAACTCTTATGCACCGTTTCCTTCAAGGACAGAAGAAATGCACTGTTCAACCTATGATGGCACTCAAATTCCCAGGACACCAACCTATCTACAGCTGCCTGTGCAAATGTACCAACGCTCTCAGATCTGCTCAAAGCACCCAGATGACCACAGACAACTTCAAAGTGCTGAAAAATCTCGATTTCCTGAGATCCCCTTAGAGCGTCTCTAAAATCTGAGCCAACACYGGGCTTTTTATCAAAGCAAAAACGCGCTGCCCAAAGTGGAGTGTGAAATTAATAATGCATGCATGAGGCCAACGTGCAATGTTTAATTATTCTTAGCAAGCTAGAAGTCAGCTGGTCGCTGCCTCCCCAGCTCAGTTTCACACTGAACGTTGCCACCTTCCACCTGGAATCTGCCTGCATCTGCTTCAGCACTACAGGTGAGACCCATCGTACTGGCCTGTTTAGCTCCTCTTGCAAGTTCTGTAGCACTATGGCACAGTGTTTTATAGAGCAAATGGCAACTTCTTRTAACGCACCGTAAAAGCCTTCTGACAGATAAAAGTTTTGCTATCTGAGAYATCAGGATAAATGGTTATTCCTTTTCAGAAACAGGTACTAACTGCAGACTGTGTGTGACATTTCTTCTACCTGAATAGTGAATTGATAAAATTCTCATGTCTGGATGGCATCTGCCTGAAATACAGGAACGCTGCTTAGGTTTGCCATGGGGAACAGCTCTACCTGACAGAAACAGAGAGACCTGGAAATCAGAGTTGSCACCTGCTTTGTGCACATTCTAGACCCAGCAACACAGAGCTTCATCAAAMCATCAGGACATTCACTCATTTCCTCATCAAACGGAGCATGACTCCCCAGGGATCAGCACCTATTTCCTGCATACACCCTCTCCTCCGCTTCCAGACCGATCTTTCACACAAGGTTTTGCCAGATGGGGACTGGGGAACGGAGGGTGTAGGAAAAAGCGCTGAGCAGAGGGAAGGCTTTTTTGAGATGCACCATCAGCCAAAATCAAAGGAACATTGCAGTGCAGGTGCTCGGCTCAGGCACCAGCGACACGTCCCRACACACGGGCTGCAGAAGGGAAAGAGACACGGGAGGTCCCCGGCAGGAGCAGGGGCTTGTTGGCAGGATGTGCACTCGCTTACATATTTGGCACCTAATGTCCCACGCCGCTAGAGAAAGACACGGCGGGACATCAAGCTGCTCTCGGGTGGGTTGACCACAACCTTCACTCGAGTTTCAGTACTGCTGGGCAGCGGCTCCCGAGAAGCTACGCGAGGATGCAAAACAGCAAGAATACAGCCAATATGTGGTTACCTCATCACCAAAGAGAAAAAAACTAACGCTGCTGCATTTCATACTAAAAGGTAAAAGGTTTTCTACTGCTGTCTCAGAGCTCACTTGTGCATTGATAAATGCCTTTGAAACGCCAGCTTTGATACAAGGCAAATAAATGAAGATACAGTTTCAGAGACGCACTGAAAACAATGCAACATAYATCTTCCAGAATAAAATAATACTTYCAGTTTTATCATTTGACATAAGCATTTTTTCCATTAACATCCCAGAGGATGGAAATTCAGTTTTGAACAAGAAGCCCGAGACCTCCTTCCTTTCCTAAATCGTTCTGACAGAGCCTGCTCCGGACACCACCCTGGTGCAGGAGGCTCAGGGACACACGGCTGTGCCRTCCCTGGGACGGGCTCCTTCACTGGAACACGGTGGAAGCAACAAAACATCTTGGACATACGGAATATTTCTTTCTATTTCATGTTGCTCGCAGGGACAGTCATATCYGAGTTCAAGAAAAATATATTTGTATAAAATATTAGTCTGAATTGACATGCTACTTTCAAAAACTCYGAATCGTGTTTTACCAGCAGACTAAGAATGACCAAAACGAGGCAGACTGCAAATTTAAGCAATGACCACCCCAACGGTGACCATAATCAAGTAATTCTTCAAAAGAGCTTTGGCTTAGAGTCTGCCTCTGTTGTCACTTAAACAACACTCACTTAAACAYCACTTAAACACAACTTAAACAACATCCTCCCAGCATACAGGGGAGGCCCCAGGCTCTGGGAAGCCACAAACCTTGTCCGACTGCAGCTCTGCAAGGCCTGGCAATCGCCACGTGCACTGGATCRCCACCGCTTTTAACATCTTTTGTCGCTGCACGTAAAAGGAGGCAGACAGAGCTTAGGTTTAACCCACAGTGCTGGCTTTAACCCACAGGAGCTGCTCATGGATGGGGTTTCCTTGCCCAGCACATTCCCCCTGGTCCACAGAAAGCCGTGCTGGCCACAGGCTTGCTCAGAACCAGCTGGTGCCCTCAGGTGTTACTGCTCCAGGCAACAGCAGCAACAACTCCCTTTTCTTTCTTTTTCTTTAAAAAAAAAAACCCCATCTGTGGCAGCAGGTGAACTGAGGGGTATAAAATGATTCAGGATGTATTTTGACAYGGTTATTTATAAGAACAAAATGCTCATAAAAAATGCAAAAAAAACTGTTTGCTGAAGGGTTTTTTTCTCTGTTACTAAAAACYGAAAAATGAAAGACTTATTCCCTTTGGTTTGATTTCACTGTTCTTCCTTCCCACATCTCTCTTGGCACCAAAGGAAAAAAGGACAAAGCMAGGGGAGAAATACAAGAAAAACTGGAGAAATACAGCAGATTACAAAAAGCGAATTCTCAAGACAAGTACGTTCTAAATCGCTGCAATTGCAGGGAAGCTGAGGGGAGGAAATTGCACACACTGAAAAGAATTCCTTTTCATAACCCATATGATAAAAGAGACCTTGTAAGAAACATTTTTCATGATAATTGCTTGGGCAGGGGGGCGGAAATCACATGAAATTTTAACAGTAGCTGTTTAAATACACAGCTTCTATTTTTTAACATCACAAACTTCAAATAAATGATGTATTAAATCTATAATAATAAAAAAACGTAAACCACCATATCCTTTTCTATAGGTATGAGAAATAACCGCTTACGCAGAACACTAATTTTCAACAATTCTAACCGAAACTAAGGCTCAATGGAGCAGCTGTTTCTTCCTACCAATATCACAAAATGGAGAAGACTGAAGAGGAAACAAAAGTTAAACCAAACCATTTAAAAACCACAGTATGGTGACAGATTTTATTTCATTTTTATCAGTACTACATGCTTGCTACCACTAGGAACAGACATTCCTTTTTTAAAAAAATAAAAATAAAAAACAAGAAACCTACGTTAAATGTTGACCTAAAGCTTGCTGTGCCTTGGAGATCTGGCTCAGGAGTTAACTGCATGACTTTTTATTTAAATAGATAAGCACTTAAGTTTGAAAATATGACAAATACAGGTAAACAGGAAAATTAAATTACAAATTCAGTTCATACAAATATCTCTTATTCTATGCACTAAATCCTGTGAATTAGCTCAGATCTTTTAAAAAAATTCTTAAAATACTTATGAAACATTATTTACAAATTATATAAATAAATCCTAGGTCACTTTTAAATTAACCAACAAAAAAGTCACCTTTTTGTACTGCGTGTACTAAAAATGTTCTTGTTTATTGATCATAACCCAGTTTGCAGTATAAAACAGTTGTTCACTTACATTAAAGTCGGTTCAAATAGAAATAAGGAAAGTGTTGGCTTCAAAAGAAAACAAAACGATATTATAAATGCTTAAAATCAGTGAGGCTTCTTAATGTTCTTTCCTGCACCATTGGCAGTCACCTTTAAAAGTCCCTTCTGCAGTATTTGTCCTGCGGTCGGGTCGTCTCCAAACAGCAGGGACAGAGTTTCAGCAAAGGGAAATGCTCCGGACGTTGCTCACACTTCACAGGGACCTCGCGCCAGGAGGGAAGGACAGAACGGAATGTCAGTGGCCAGCACAAGCCTTTACAACATTTAACTTAAAGGCAGCATTTATAGAACTAATCACAGACTATACACATCCTGCACTGAACAGCAATCAAAAGGACTGGAAAATATACACTTAGGAAAACAAGWGACTGATGATTTTTCCGTTACCTTTGACAAAATTAATGCTTTTTCTCCTTATCTTTTGTTTTAAAACCAGCATCAACACCACCAACAACTACAACTACCTTTTCCTTTAACATAATATATGCCAGATAACTACTGTACGTGAAAAATGTACAATAAAAGGAGAGAAACCACTGAATTTCCTATGCAGACACATGAAAATATAAAGCCATACAGATTCCAAAGTGCCTTGAATGCCAAATTCAAGTGATGGTTGATAGCATGTACAAAAAAATCAAACGGGACTTGCTCTAGGGATTGCCGAGTCCTTCGGGTGTATCTTCAGTTTCCCCTTTGGCTGCTTTGCTGAGAATTTCCATCCACTTCACCTGCAGTTCTTCATCTTCTGCACTGAAATATATAGTCTGTTGGGACTGGCAAAGCTTAAAAACGTGTTTCACTTCAAACTTGTCACCAGAACCTGGTAAACTGACTTCATATCCAGGCAGAGGAATAGGACGTGGGCTCCGACCATCCTAAAAGAAAAAAAGAGCATATGTTAAAAACCCAGCAACAGGTTGCATTTGGAATGGCAGGAATGAGGGAAGGTGCACGAGGCGGACAGGATACTGCCCACGACATGCCCGAGGAGCCAAGGTGCACACGGGGATGCAGAAGTGGACACGGTGGCCGGGGCAGCCTTCCCTTCCCAGCCACCTCGTGCACCTGCCGGTGCTTCCAGTTGCTGACACGTAGCCTAGGTGGCAGCTAAGAGCCGGTACCGACGGCTTAACATAACRCAAATAAGAAAACAATTTATTGGGACTTCATTCTTCCTTTAGAGATTCCATTTTGCAGTAAGAACCTAGATGCAGCAACAGCCCAATTAGGGATTTCTAAGTAACTTCAGATCTTCAAAACAGCAGATTGACTTCTCTATCTATCTTTTCTAATAAGGTTTTGARGTAAAATCTTTTATTTCTACTCAAACATGGTAGTTGCACGGATTTGGTTCCAGGACAGATGAAATTGATACTTGTGTACATAAATGAAGCTGTGAATTTTATTCTCATGCATAAAACCTCACACAAAACTCAAGCTGTGAATACTCAGGGGATTAATTTCCCCCTCTTGGAACAAGCAAGAAGCACAAGAGCAGTTTTCTTGCTCTTGCTGTTCTGAAGGCTGAGTCTCATATTTCCATTCATGCTGGAGTYCCTTCTTCAGCGTGAGAAACGGGGTGCCGAGGATGAAAGCTGTCAGGGCCTTCAGTGCATCAAGAGCTCCAGTTTTAGTTTGGCTCACTCCTCCTTCCCAGGAGGCAGCTATTCTTCTTGTTCCTTTAAAAATAATCCCACAACTCTTGTGCACACAAAATTTTCATGGTTACACTTCATTTGGTCTGTGTTTTGAGACCTTTAAAGCCATTGTTGGAGCATGATTCCCCAGAGGCAGCTCCTCTTTAGGCACTGAAGTGCTCCCCTCCTCACCCCCCAGCCCCCCCCTTCTATTATTAATATTATTATTATTATTATTATTAACCTTTTTGGAAATAAACCTTTTGCAATGGGTCTGCTGTCTGCTCAAGCAATGGGAACCCTGCACTTCGATGCTCCCTGAGAACAATTTGCTGCCACAACTTGCAACTCGGGTAACAGTCTGGCTTTCTTTAGAAATGTCCCGAGTTGCTCTCTGGTGGGCTGTGACTTACTCAGCAATCAGGAATAATGATTCTGTAACATTTAGTAAATCACATATTTAGAAGAAATTCAAATATTAAGTCACAGAATTAATTTTGGTACAATTAACTGTTGTTTTGTAATTTCTGTTACACTCTCAGCAGTCACGCCTCTCCAAAGAGGTTTGTTAGATGCAACGAGGTTTTTGTACAAAACAGAAAAWTATGTTTATGAAAATAACACTCAAAAATGAGTGGATTCCTGGCACTCAGCTGTGAGGATGGTACTCCTGAAAGAGTCTTTTCTCAAAAGTCTAGTGCACATTATGTAAATCAGAACTAATATTAAAGTCAGGTTAATATTAAGGATGGAAATTGCATTACTCCATAATATCTTTCCTTCATCTGGACGCAAACTGCAGATGGTGGGGGAGTGGGAACAGCAGCCCTCGCAGCAAAGACTCATTTTTATTTTTCACAGTCTCAGCCAGCATGATTCCTCACAGTAAATCCGGGCCAGGTTATTGAATGTAAGACAGATTAACCTTGTCCTGTGCGCCTTCTTGCTACTTTAGTGGGTGATTTATCTCTCATCTGAAATAGCTGAAGAAACTAACCACTAAATTGAACTGTCATAAAATCAACAATCAGTGTCAAAGGTGCCTTTCCCCCTAAAATATAGCCCGCTACTAATAACATCAAGAGAGGCTCAGGATCGAAGGTGGGAATACCTGGAGGAGGTCACAYAGCGCCCGAAGCACAGAAGTTCCTGCAGCTTCCCACCTTGGTCTGGCACAGCTTGCAGGATGGGGACTGGACAACCAGGCATCACTCTGCACACCCATACAGCTGTTGATGTCTCGTGGTTACCAACACTGTCCTGAGACAACCAGCTGGGCRCTAGGACAGACCCGTTCTAGGTCAAGGTGCTGCTTTCTCTCAACTTCTGGTTCCAGACAYCTCTTGGGTGACACACGAGGCTCCTGGGTGAACAATGATGACTCCAAACACATCCACACAGGCTGCTTGTGTTGCATTTAGTTTGAGGTTCTGTCTAAAGCTTTTGCAGCTTGCGATTTCAGTCATGCATCTCCTGCAGACTAGAAGGGAGCCTGGGCAGCTCCYGGCCCATGGGATCCCTTGGACACTTACCCAGGATGGGGATTGAATTCTAGATGAGGCCAAGCCAGCATGTGTCTAAAATGCCAAGCTGAAGCTCCCAGCTTAGGTCGTTGTGCTTAAAACAGTCCAAAATATTTGCTTAAAACTAAAGATGCTCCTTCTAACAAGAAGCAAAACAGAGTTTTCTAAGGATGATGTGTGCTTGTTGTGGAGCACATGCTATTGAGTAAACTGATTACCTGTATAAAATCACTGAGAGCATACAAAAAGTGATTAAAAGGCAGCAGTTAGCACTTCCATGAGATAAGGGTTATTGGTAGCAGTTGTTTCCAGGCCATTCCCAGCCACAGCAGCAGGAACTGACGCTGATCCGAAGCCACCGCCGCTCCGCGCGGCCGCAGTCATCCCAGGGCGGCACAACACCGAATTGGGACCATGCCCCTTCTTCCACCCCAACAGTCACAAACTCAAACTAAGCCACAGATCAACAGGCCAAATGCAAAACAGGATGCAGAGAAACTCACTTCAGCGTTGTCATTCTACATCACCAGCATCAAGGAGCATGACTTGAATTCCTATGTTAGGGTTTATTTGGCTTTCATCACACGCAAATGCCAGTTAGCTTCAACACTGCACTTTTAAAAGTAAATGCCTACCACAGCGTAACTATTTCAAGTAAAGGTAAAATGAGATAAGGCCATGGCAGGAGCCCTGCCATATACCTTCCAGTAACATCTACACTTCCAAAGACACCTCTACTCTCAACCCAGAACTAAAACAGCAATGATAATTAAAGAAATAATAATAAAAGGGCTTGAACCAGTATTTGCTATATTCATACCATACTTCCCAGCTCTACACCTTTTGTGGAAAAGTGCTTTCCCATTGACAGGGTAACAAAAACTTTTGAATATACCTGTCTGAAATTTCTAGAAAACAAAATGCAACTGAAGAAACTCATCTTTGTTAACAAAGAAAAAAGAAAAGCTCTGAGTCCAAATGCAGCAACTACTGCAGGTGAGAAGGAAATCTGAACTCTCTGAAGCTTTGTACTAAATTCACAACAGCACMCTCATTTTTGGTGTTGAAATCAAGCCAAATTCTTTGACTTTTTTGTCAGTTGGTCATATTTAAACTCAAGCTGTTTTTGCTGAACAATACCYCTCATGAGTATCACTTTACCTGGCTACTTGCTTGCAGATACAAAACAAGAGGTTCACTCTTGGGAATGGTCACCCACATTTTATGCCAAGTCTTTCCTTTTTCAAGGAATTGGAGGTAGCTGCTGAAGAGGCTGTTTTCAGCTGCCAATATGCTTTGCTTCTGAAAAAAAAAAAAAAGAAAGAAAGAAGTTACGTTGCCATTCATGCTAATGTGGACAGAACACATTGAATTAAATATAGAACACACTGGATTTGTCTAGAGCCAAAGAACAAAGAAGGGCAAATGCTGGGCAGTCCACAACAAAACAGAAGGGCAGTCACTGCCATGTACAGCAAGAAAGAGCAGCATCCAGGCAGCGGAGGCAGATGCTGAGCTGCTGTTCCCGGCATGTAGATTTAACATTGAGATGCTGCTAAATTCCACTTCCACAGCGAAAACCGAGAAGGGCAATTAGGACAGCAGCGCTGGTTTCCTGCTTAGCCACGCGGCTGGCAGATGATTCTGCACTGACAAAACGGGTGTCTCGGGACACGCGAGCTGCCTCGGCAGGGACGGCGCCGCTGCCAGTGGTGCGGGATAGCGGGATGCGASTCTGCCGGTGGAAACGACTCCGGTGCAGGACCTGCCCTGGCGCTGCCCCCTTTGCAGTCTGCTCTGTGCGTGGCATGTCCGAGATGAGTATTTTGGGAAAGGACAGGAAAAAAAAAAACCCCACACCACTAGTGTCTTTTGACACTGCAGTCTTATTCCATTTGTACTCGGCGAGCTTGGTTCCCTTTGCCAGAAGCCRTGTCCCAGGTTCTCTCTGTGCCTGCTTCGGATTGCTGTCACAGGCAGGGCAGGGGAAACATCTCAAATTTGGAATGAAAAYTGGGCGGGTGAGACTGAAAAGATGAGGAGAACACAAACACTGGGAGATGAGGAAGAACACAAGCACTGGGGTGCTGTCTTTTGGGCWGGAATAGAGCACAGGCTTAGCAGCTGATTTCTGCAGCACTGGTGTCGATGGAAACACTTGCACGTGGGTGCAGATACGGGATGATCCCTATGAGAGTGCTCTGCAGCAAAAAACATTGAAAAAAAATCCTGATGGAATCAAAGAAAGAGAATTCCAGTTCATGTTAGATTTTACACAGAAGTCTCGTGAGGATTTCTGGCGTCTGTTCAGAGTGTTTGTGAGGCAGAAAACACCTCAGCTGCGATTACGCTTATTAACAAAGTTTGATGTAGATAGGAGGGAAAGGAAAATGTTGCTCTGATCCTTCTTGTCTATGTAACTGTTTTCTTGCCTTTCACCTGATCCTTTGAAGATTTAGCACAAGACTAGAAGTCCATATGAATGAAAATGACTCTTGGGGTTATACAATAGTAATCTGCTTTGGGAATTAAAGCCACAGGTCACACTTCACTGGCTTGCTTTTCAGACGAGCAGACCCCTCTGCAGGGTACGWGTGCTTCTCTGCTGAATCAGTGCTAGAAGGTTCACAGCGAGATACTCCAGAATGCAGCTGCATGTTGAGTGCTCTTCACCTGCGGCCCGAGCTGCACGGCTTATCTGAGGCTTTTAATGGTATCAGCACCTGGATGCAGAGCCCTGTGGACACAGCAGCTCRGGAAGGGCTGCGTGTGCAGATTTGGATGCGGATTCCGTGGATCCGGATGGGCTGGGGTGCAGAGTGCACAGAGCRCCCAAGCGGTGCAGTCTGCTGGGCCAGATCCGTGGCTCCTGCTCAGGCACCACAACTTGCTTCTGCAGAGGGGTACGACAGGCTTGGAAGGTTCTTTGGAGGTCCATGAGAAGCGGTTTCCAGGAAAGCATTTTCCAGGTTTTTCAGTATAAGCTTCAACTGTTTGTCCCTTTCCAGGCAATTTCCAAGCCAGGGGAGTATGTGGCAGCAGGAAACACACAATAATTAYAAGAATCCAGAAGGTCTTTCTCATTTTTATTATTTTGGCAGTCRAAGTCCATCCCTGAAATCCACGTGCATCCTCGTACATATGATAAGCACACCCACTTACGAGCAGAGCTCAGGCTGCCTGCCCGTTCAACACATATTAACCCACATGYACACTAACCCACCACAAGCATCTTGGCCAAACACCATACCTCTGTGGCTAGTCTCTTCTTCTGTTCTCCCGTTTCAAATCCAGGGCTGCAAGGGGTTCCTGACAGCTGCAGAAAACAGTCTTTGCACACCCGGTTGTGGCGGCTGTTGTCTGCAAGTGGTTTAAACTCAGAGCATTTTGCACAGATCACCTGCGTGGGGAGGACAGCACTTTACTCTCAGCCGTTATTAAAGCACAAGCCTTCTTATTTACTCTCTAAACAAGGTGACTTGCAGAAGGGATGTTATTGGTATTGCAGAAGGGATGTTATTAAATAAAATCCTGAAAGCTAATGTACATATAAGACAAAATAGCAAATATTATGTTTGCCTTATTTACCTCTAATTAGAACTAAATTTTTGGGGGGTTCCTGTACAGTATGCCAAGATACTAAAGAAAACACATGCCTTTTGGGAAATACTTACAAGTAACAYGATATATTTTTTTTCTCTCCATGTATAGAAGCCTTTATGAGCCAATAAAGGCCTAGGCTTAGGAATCGAAGCATCCAAATTTGCCAAATATTTCTAGAACACGGGGCAGTAAGAAAAAACTCTCTCTCTSATGTCAAATTAACAATTAACTTCTTTCCTCATTTTCTAAGGCACACAAGGAAACATCCATCCCACGGAAYAAGAGCGACAGCTCTATTGCTGCGCGACCTGGTTTGCGCTTCAGCTCCAACTCCGCCACTCGCTGTGGCGCAGCTGCACTGGCACCAGGAACCATTCCCTGGGGTCCAGTGGACGGGCAGTCCACAGAACTTGTCATCCAGTTCTAATTTACTATATATTAATACCCCATATATGCCCACACGTGCATGTTATCGTGCGCTTCACTGCCAGGCGTTGACGGGCACACGAAGGTGCTGCCTTAGTGCAGCGCTGCGTGGAGGTGTTAAGTGAAGCGCCATTCCCCCAAGCTCCACAAACAAAAGCCAGCAAGTGTTTTTAGAAATACGATCATTTTTCCTTGGGGCAAACTAACATCTTCAATTTGAATGCTATTGCCACATCAGAAAAACACTGCCTAACCAACAACGGTTTAACAATAAATTATTAATAATGTAATTCTTGTTATCTTTCTGTCCACGGGGGAAAGCTTTTATTTCATTTATTTAATAATATTGAGCTTTTCAGCAGAATGTTTTAAATCTCTAAAAGTGTGTTGTATGATTTTAATACTTATTAAAAACAAATAAAGATTGAAAATCCCAACTCCAGTGCAATAGCATCACCTCCACAGCGGTTTTATTTCAAATGCCAAGATTGAGGTTTCTTTAAATCCCTAACTATATATTTAGATCTCTTTTTGGCTGAAAATCTATCTCCATTTGCCACATGATACTTACTGCCCCGCACTGCTTACAGTGGTGCCTCCTTTTTGTGATGGAGTTAAAGCTTTCGCTGCAGCTCTTGCAAGCCTGTTTCTCTTTGTCTCGCTTGGATTTGGAAGATTTCCTACAGGAATCGGTCTAAAATGAAAAGTACAATTATGTGATTTTTTTTAATCATCACAAAGCAATTTACTGAGTTATCCTGTGGACAAAGATCCTCTCCAGGCTTCACACCATCCAGACTATTTAGGAAAGAATTCATGTTGACACCACCAAGGGCCTCAGGTTACAATGGAAGGGCAGCCTCAGGCACGAGGAGTTTCTGACCTTGTGAGCCTGCCTGGTCTGGGGGTGGAGATGTGAAACATGGAAACAGGGCTCGCCTGAAGAAGCAGGTTATGGATCTCACACCACCCAACTACAGGCACCTGAAGAAACATTGGCACTCAGAGATCCTGGAGAAGATTAATCCCACTGCACCTTACATAAATTTCCCGCTCCTTGACACCCCTTTTCCCTCTAAATTGCGCGTGAACCTGAAGTTGCAGGGTTCTCATGAGCGAGAATAACTGACTCAACAGATGTGTCCTTCCTCAAAGCCATAAGTTAAGAGCAGGATGTGGGCACCCGGGGGTGGGAGGGAGACGGCAGCTTTTCAGATGAGCAGAGGCTGCCGCTGGATCCCTGGGCGAGTTTTCGCAGCACAGGGGAAATCCCGTCATTTTCCCCAAAGACGCTGCCTTGGTGGTAATGATTAACCTAAGGAGCCACAGACACACATTTTCAGGCCAGTGTGAAAGTCAAGTCTCACAAGGTGTAACCCCGGCGGAGCGGAGCAGCGCTGCAGCCCAGCGCGGAGCGAGCGGCGCCGGAGCCCTGGACGCCCAGCACCGCGCAGCACCGCCAGACACACATTTTCAGGCCAGTGTGAAAGTCAAGTCTCACAAGGTGTAACCCCGGCGGAGCGGAGCAGCGCTGCAGCCCAGCGCGGAGCGAGCGGCGCCGGAGCCCTGGACGCCCAGCACCGCGCAGCACCGCGCAGCACCGCGCAGCACCGCGCGCCCTCCCGCAGGGGCACCTCTGCGGACGCAGGGCACACACTGACCCCGCAGTCTGGGGCACTTCGGAAACAAGTTCAGCTCCACAGCAGAGGAAAGTCTTGTGAACCAGAAAGCGACACGGCAAAATGAGTGGCAGGGACATGCAAGCCAACTTCTCACAGCCTGCCTGCCTTCTACCTCGCAGTCTGACTCACCTTGCCTGTTTTCCCTCAAAGCCTCTGCTAGAGAGCTCAAAACAGAAAACTGACTTCCTGTCATTCAGTCCAGCTCCCTACTTCTTTCTTTCACTTTTCTTAACCTTTGCATTTCTGTTTRTTCCCAGTATCACTGATGTTCTCTTCTCTTTGTAAAGCACACATTTCATTTCTCTTGTACCTGTTGTTTTCTCCACGATGAAGGATGAGGAGACACYGACAGGCCTGGCTGCCTTCCTGCTGACACCGCTCACATCTTCCAGCATCTCTGCCCTGACATCCCCTGGGCCCAAAGCAAAGCGCAACGTCTTTCAGCAGAGCTATTGAAACCACCCTGGCTCCTAACAACGGCATTACACAACGAAACCACAACTAATTACTTCTAAGTGGATCTTTCATTTCTATGATCTTCCCTTTGGCAGCAGAAGCAACGTTTCCACCCCGCACAGGAGCCCGTGCTGCGTTTTGCAAGGGGGAGGCTGGGGGAGCACGGCCGCAAGGATG